GCGCCCGCTGGCGCCAGCGCGAAAAATGTATGTCACATAGGAATCACTGCACTTAACAGATCTATATGCAGATTTTCAGTGAAACTTTTCTTGAATTTTCGGAGTCGTAATGGTGGAATAGTGCCTTTCATTATTTTTTTGAATTTTATTGATCTATACCATTTTGAAGATGCCAGCGTCTATGGCTCGAACATTTACTGGCAAGGTGACACAGCTTGGTCGCAGAACGAGCAGAGGATGCTCTATCAACAATATGGTTCTAGCGTATCACGTCCAGCCTAATACTCGGTGCCGGTGAGGCTGTTCGTACGCTTTAGCCGTGCCTCATTAGTGCATGTACCCTGAAATGCATATTGATTTTGCGCGGGCAAAATCAATATCCATTTCTCACATGCGAGTGTGTGGAGGAAGCGGTTTTGCGTATTGGAAAAACAGTTGACTATGGTCGTCATAGTTTCCATTCCTAGATGTTTATTCTCTAAGATTGTTTGTTTAGGGTATAGTTAGATGACATGACTAAATGCTTAGATATATTCTATATTTTGAAGTTTTTAAACTGCCACATTTTTTCTTCTTGTCTCGTTTTATAATCGATTTTTTATCATATTTGTCTTGTACCATCCGTTCATTTTTTTCATTGCGTCTGTTTGACCCTAATCCGTCTGTGAATGCGCCATATTTCATTGTTGTTCACTGGTTATTTTTTTGGTCGTGTCTTCGTCCTTGTGCTCCTTGTTTTCATTTGAGCCCATTCTGTTTCTTATCTTCTGAAGGCAGCTTCTGTCTCTAGCGAACAGGTACTGGTCGTCCTAGTAGACATGGAGAGCATCTGAGGGTGTTACAGCAGCGCTGGGTTGCCGTTAAAGGTAGGGCGAATATGATGGCAAAATCGATTCGTTCACGTATGAAGGGACGGTGGCGAATATGGTGCCAAGATGTATGTAAGGGATAGAAAACAGAAATGGTGAAGAGCCCTCGGGATCAAACTGCCATGGTTCTGGTGGTAATACGGGTGGTGTTGGTCTAGAGTAGTTCTTGATTTCCGACACTGCTATTTAACTCATCACCTCACGTTCACCATTAAGATCCTTGTCATTCCCTATCTTGTCCTTTTATAAAAGCTAATAGCGATCGTAAGTGAGTGGGACTCTCGCGCTCATGCTGAGAGTCACCCTACGTCAGTAGTTTCCATCGCCCTTTCCAAGTAACTTCATGGGAAGAGGGGCGGATATTCCCTAGTCATCTATGGACCTGCGCATCGTATTTGAAGCAGGACGGGTACCTTTCAGGTGGTGGTACCTGTGCTTTACACTAGGACCCACTTAGCTGGTGCTGCCATTCCCTACCACTTTTTGTGAGCTCTCAAAGGCGATGGCTGGGGGCTAGCGGTTGCGGCCGACGTCATTGGTGCGAGGGCGGAGTAGGCTGTGACCGAAAGCCCTGTCGCATCCCTTCCACCAATGGCAATGACAGCAACGGCCCGCCTCCACCCATCGCACCCACTGTCTTTAATCGTGGGTGTGCGATTTTACCTATGCTCCCGGTTGGCCCTTCGCCAAGAAACAGCCAGGAAGAGTAGATGCCAAATGCCAGTTCGCGTGTGCAGAAGTCGCCTGAGATGGCTCGATTGCTCTGTAACAGTTCAGTGTTGTTTGTCTATCCTTCCATTATGCTATTCCTTCTTTCTCCGGTAATCGTTCATTTGCTCTTTTATTTTCAGTGTCCCTCCCCACCCCGGATCATCACGGCTATTTGTTTCGATTTTGAATTCAGGGTCAAGCGAAAGTGATTCCGTGTCTCGTATATTCAACGATTCGCTTTTCTGATTAGCCTCAAACGGAAATGGGGTTTGGTACCGGTCTGTTTCTGTTGGTACTGCTCTTGTTCTTGTACTACTCGCACTCGCAATTTGCCATACACATAACACATCTTTCTTTTCTATATATGTAATATATCTATAGTAGGAAACTAGTGGAAAAGAGTGTTGTTTTGTTTAGAAGAGCATCCCAAAGGCATTTTCTTTTTGTTTTGTTCCTTGTAAGCGTCGATGGGCTATCGTTCATAGTAGGTGTCGATGCATCATATCATTGATTCGTGAGAATTTTATTCGATCGATAATATATCTCAGTTGTTTTTGTGACGCACATTATTTTTGTGGTACAACATTAGAGTCATCCAAATCAGTACTGAACATTGTACAAATTTCTACTTGATATGTACAATATCTTTGATCTTCTTATAAAGTAATAGATCCGTGAGCACTATTCAGCATTTATTCCAAGGCCGTACGGTCCTGCGCATTCCATATAGATTCCTTCAAGACACATTCGACATAGACTCACGCGACGATTAGAATTCAAAAAAATGTTGAAAAAACTGCTACTGTGTCTAAAAAATTATAGTGCGCGCTGTCTCGCTGTGTCTTCACGACAATGCACACATATGCACCCCGTCCCCCATACAATGAACTAATTTTCAAAACACACCATATTCAATCCTTGACTGGATAGATAGGTGAATTTTCTGGACAGAAGTGACTTTTACAACTTCACAGACACCATGCATTCCGCTGACTGTTGTAAATGATTGCCTTATGTTCGCTTGAAAATCCCACACGCAAGTACATACATGGCTATACATCAAAGATCTTCTCGTGAGTCATCATCCATATCGGCTTCCGCCTCTTTA